AGCCCATCCCCATAGGACTTTCTTAGTCCACTTTATAATTGAATGAAGGCTTGCCTCCTAAGGCCTGCCGCCCCTCCAGGGGCACCCTCATGGGTGCTCCCTGATCTGTACTGAGCCCCAGCCTTCTGGATCATTCCTGACCCTGGGAAGGGGGTGACATCAAGGTGGGTGGACAGCCGGTGGCAGTTATATATAGGCAGAGTCAAAGCAACAGTGTGAGCCAGTGTCTCCTAGGTGAGAGAGAAAGGAGAGGATAAAGGTGTACAACCCAGGGACTTAGGATCTGGTGGACTGAAGATCGAGCTGGCTGGCGGCGTTGTAGTTGGAGCACTGGATTCTCACATGGCAGACTATGATTCAAGTCCTGGACCTGGTGGCTCTCTCTCTCTTTCTTCAAATTAAGAAATAATAATAATTAATAAATTTTTATAAATAATTCTTATTTTAAAAATGAAAAGACTGAACCCTGCCCTGCCATGATTTCCCATGTTCAGTACCTTCATCCGTAAAATGGGAACAGCATGTTCCTCCCTAATCACAAATGGGTTGTTTGGGAGTTTGGGTGAGATAAGAGTTTGTAAACTGAGTTCAATTAAAGTTTGTTCCCCCCCCCCCCCACACACACACACACACAAAAAGTTTGTTCCACCCCCCCCACACACACACACACACGCACACACACACACTCCTATCCCAAAGTCCTACTCTAAACTGGAGGGGGGGGAGTGACCTCAGTGGTGCTGATCATTAGGAGCAAATGGCTGTCACAGGAGGGGAGGGTTATCCTTATGGAAGTGTTTGGGGAGGTGTTACTGGTTTCTATTTTTATAGGTTGCTGTTTTCTTTGTTTTCTTTCAGCTTCCCTGGGTGTCACCCCTATCTTTAAGCTCTGAGCATTCCTCCAAAATTCTCCTTGGGGCCAGCTGATGCTGGCACCCAAGCCTAAGCCAGGCCAATCAGGGGGGGTTCTGAATTCAAATAGCTCACCATCACTCAAACAGCTCCAGTCTCAGCAGAACAGAGACATCGCAAGGGAGGGCGTTACTGGTCCACCCTGTGCCTTTGCAACATCTCAGTAGACACATCCTGAGAGGCAACGTGTAGTTTCTAGAAAGTCATTTTACAAATGAGAACCTGAGGCCAAGGAGGGACATATCTCTGCCGCTCACATTCCTCCCTGCTTCCCCAGCACCTTCGGCTGTCTCCCTGGACTCCTGCCTCTACTAGCAGGTGGGCAAACGTGCACACCTCTTGGGCATCCGCTTCCTCTCTGTAAAGTGGAAGTAATACTTCCCTCCTAGGGCTAGTGAGAATGAACTAAAACGAAATTTGTCAAGTGCCTGGCGCAGCTTAGGTTGCCTTTAAGTGGCTGTAGTTGTCATTACTTGGCAGTACCCAGAGCTGTCGTTCTCAAAGCCCCCATACACCCGAAACCCAGACTCCGAACCTCACAGTTTATTGTGTACACCGCATAAATACCTGACGCACCTCTGCTGGCTTATGTGATTAGCCCCGTTTCGCTCCAGGCGGCGCGCACATTCACACACGCGTGCATTACCAAGCACCTGCCCCGTGCCAGGACCCTACTTGGCGGCAGGGTCCGGGATACTGGTCTGACCCTGAACGACTACCGGGGCTGAGTTTTGCGAGGAAGATTGGCCATTTGTTTGCCGAGTTCTGACTTCGTAGGGGCGTTATCATCGTAAGCGTTAGGGTGCCAAACGCTGCCATTCCGCCACCCTCCTGGTTTCCGGACCAGCAGCGAGAGCTGGAATGCCTTTTTCCTTCCTTTCCTGTGCTGTGCTGGAGCCTCGCCTCCCACCGCCACCCCCGGCGGGCTCTGCGCAAGGACGCCGCTTTCCTTGGCAGCAGGGCCGGGACGCCCTGAATGTGGCAGGAACCTGGAAAGGAGACGCGAGCGGACAGAAAAAAAGGCCCAGGAAGCAGTGGGAGGTCCGAGCCTTGGAGCCCCGCGCGGGTCCTCGGGGCCCATTTGGCACAGGCTTCTCCCGGGCCACCAGGCGGCTGGGCAAAGGCCGCCCGGACCCGCTCCCGGCCTTTTGTAGGAGGGAAATACAAAGGAAAGGGAAAAAACGCGTCTTCCGTTTTGACTGAGGAGGCCAACAGCTTTAGGACGCCGGGACCAGCCGGAAACTCCCGGAGCCGGGCCGATTAGCCTCTGCCAGGGAGCTCGTAATTCCCCGGGAACAGGCGCAGGCCCAGCTGCGCGGGCTCAGGGAAACTGCTGTGTCCTGGACCCGTCCAAGAGTGGACGTGGATGCCAGGCTCTGGACCCCGACAAGTGCCCCAGGGGCTCACGGGGGCGCTGGTTGCCGGTTATTGGAAGGGGAGCGGTGGTGAGAGAGTCAGTGAGAGTCTGTCCCTGGGCTAAAGGAGCCCAGTAGGACACAGACAATTCCCTTTCTTTTCTTATTTTTAATAATTATTTTATTTAACTTTATTTGTTTATTTATTTTTTAATTCGACCAGAGAGGGACAGAGCGAGAGAAACAAAGCAAGAGAGAGAGAAAGTGAGAAAGCAAGTTGCCAGGTCTGGAACTCAACCCTGCGTGGTTGGCCATATGGGACTCCATCCCCTTAGCCACTACACCACCTGCCAGCCACCAGACGCTTCCCTTTCAAGCAACTCTGGTAAATGGACGATGTTGGGAAGAGGCTGCTTTTAGAAGGCGCCTGCAGCCCAGAGAGGTCAGCCCAAGCTCTGGACTTGGGGAGTGAGGTGCTTCAGAACAGTTCCTGGCTCTGTGGTAGAGGCCGGGAAGGTCCTTGTGGGCGTCCACGAGGGAACCTAGCGAGCAAGCCAGCTCTCCTGCCTCCAGGGTCTGCCTTATGGGCTCCAGGCTTGTACCTTGGTGGGGTGTCCTCTCTGGACTTTTGACCCTGCCTGCAAGTCCATCCCCAGGATCAAGCCTGCCAAGAAAGGGGCAGGCACTCCCACTCCCGCAGAGACTAGATGCAGGACTGACACCAGTGGGGAGCCCTGAGAGTACACCCAGGCGCAGGCCCCGTGCCAGCAGTCGGGTAACCTCAGCGGCTGCAACCAAGGCGTGCACGCTGTGCCTGCTGGTGCTTATTAGAGACACTGGCAGGCACACAACTGCACACCCAGCTGGTGGCCCCACAGCGCGCACCTCCGCACAAGTCCTCAGGAAGGTTGTGAAGAGACCCAGCCTAGTGATCCTTAAATGCCCTGAGCTGCTGCGGACTCCTCCCACCCCAACCGGGCTCCATGCCTTCCTCTTTGAGACAGACTCTACTAATTGAACGGTTATGGGTCAACCTTGTAACCGTTGGGCGATATATCACCACGCTTCAGCTCTTCGTGTTTTAAGTGCATATTTAAGGGATGGTTGCAGAGCCAGCTGGGGAACACGCGGGTTGAAAAATAATGCTCCAGAAGGCAGAAGATGAGGGCAAAGGCGATAGCTGGCTTTCTAGAGCAGACCGCAGAGGAAGACATCCCAGAACTGGGGGACTATAACATGGGTTTCTTTTTGTATGTATTTCGTAACCTTGCTACTTGAAGGCCAATAACTGTTCTTATTTGTTTCCTTGCTTGTTTTAAAAACCCTATGTGCACATTAAAAATTCTCAAACAAACGAGATAACCAGATGACTTATAGTACTCTTTGGGAGAGAAGATTGAGTGATGCCAGGGGTGGGTGTTGAAGTGTGCAGTGTGAAAGGCTAGCTAGCATCCAATCACGTTGGTATTGGAAACGTATGCTGTGTGAAACTCAGGGACAATGTAAGGGGCTGGGGAAATGGACATCCGCCTCTAATGTCAAGAACTACCAAACCCTTCATCTGGAGCCCAAGCAAACCTGCTCTATAAAGGCTTAGCCAATTTTTCTGCAGGCTTGCTGCAGATACAGTGTCGGTTTTGGTTTGTTTTTTTTCATCTGAAAACTGGGTGAATGTGTAGGTACTTCTGAACTATCTCAGGTGCTTCTTCAGATCAGGTTTAATTTGGAACGGTCAAGAGTTCCCAGATTTTTGCGTAAGGCTGTGATCAGTAAAATGTGTCCGAATGTCGCCATGAGCGGTCTCTCACCACCAGTCCCATGGTGTGCAAATTCGCAAACAAATCGACATTGCGGGCTACCTTCCAGCATAACGAAGATCAGGAAGGTGCTACAAAATTGCTACCGCCTGGCTTCTCCGCTAAAAAATGGAGCTGGGTGTTAAACTCTCAGCAAGACTGCCCTTGTGTTAGTGCAGTTACACGGCAGAAATAACCAGACCGCGAATCTACCCCATCCTCAACTTTATGAAGAGTTGCCCCTTCTTTCAAAACACCCTTCTATGTCAGTGGGCCAGCTCCTCACCAGCCCTTAGCCCGGCAAGGCCTTACCCCCAGGTGGGGGCGCTATCCGCCGCCCGCGGCGCCGCGGCAGCCTCCACCTCCTGGACTTGCTCTAAGAGCGCGAAGAAAGTGTGGGCTTTGTGCCTGTAATCCTTTACATTTGGAATCCCAAATACCCACGTGTTGGTGAAGCCCATGAGCCAGGGGACCGGCGGCGGGAAACCAGAGGAAAAGCTGGCGAAAAGGCTCCAGTCTCGAATCCTGGGTAGACAGGGTTGTCCCCTCGCATCCCAAAAGACCTGGCTAGTTTGGGCGGTTGGTTAGTTTGTCCGTAGAGTCCTCAGTCCCCCTCTGTCCCCCAGCCTGACTCGGCGGCGACCATATTTTACAGAAATTTGACGACGCTACTTCTCTTTCTGGATCCTAAGCGCGCTAGGCCCTCTCTCTT